GGTGTGGCATTGCTGGCCATGGTATGAGGCTGGAGGCAGTATTTCTCAATGATAGCAATGGCACTGGGGCTAAAGCAGAGGCCGGGGGGAAGTGGCAGCCAGCTGGAAACTCCGGACCTCTACTTCAGCTCCAGCCCTGGCACTGCCGCCACCGCATACTAATGTGCAGAGTGGCAAAACAGCATGGCAGTGAGAGTTACAGCAGCTTTGTAGTCATAAATACTGGTAGGCTGACAAACGCTCTATTTTTGATCACAGGACTATGGGAGTATTGCAATGGCCTTAACTTTGGTCATGGTTTGTAAGTTGTTTTTTTTCGGTGCTGTTTTAATATCAAATGGTCGCTGAATAAATGTCGTAAATCAAGGACTACCTAAAATTCTATCAAGCAGGGCTCTTCTAATGTTGTTATAGTTAGTGGATTTTGCACTCATCCAGTTCATTCAGCATGTAGCCTTTATCTATGTGCCAGATCTAAAACAAATCCTTCCAGCTCTCAAGGAAGAAAATAAAGGAAGTTGCAACAGCTGCTTATTATTTTCCCATTGTTTTGAAAAGAAAAAAAATGGTTTGCTGCATTGTTCAGACACTTTATTCTAGCTAGAGCTGATCTCTTTTTTTATCATTAAATTCCATTTTATGTATTTTGGAGAGGCAAACCAATAGTAGCAAATAACCTTACGTTATTTTACACAACATCAAAGGTCACATTGAGTTCTATACTTTAAGAAAAAGCATGTGTCTTTATATGCGATGATACCAACCTTGTTAACCGGAACAATTTTTAAAGAAGAACTTTGACCCCAAAACTTTTAGAAGGATAATTTGTCAAGTCAATGTTTTAGTAAAAATAAACAATTTTTCTTTTCCCTTCCTATCATTTTTATCTTGTCTCATTCCTTTTAGATTATAAGCCTGAGAATAAGCCACCATGGGAATTTTTTTTTTGAGCGAAAGTGTAAGAAAGAGGCCAAGAATAAACAGGAAATTAAAAAGAATCTAGTCTCAGAAAGGTGTCTGGAGAAAAACAAAAGTTTGAAAGATGAGGAGAAGAGATCCATGCTGCAATAGACGGAGCAGCCTTGAATCCACAATTACTACCCAAAAGATTGGATTGAGATTGATCCACACAGACCTGCCATCCTGAGTTGAACACTGAAGTAAAACAAGGCAGAAAAAGAAAAATAATAAATATTTTAATTCCTCAAAATAATAAATATTTTAATTCCTCAGTTGTATAATTTAAGACAAATTACAGTATATCAATTGTCTGTGGCCTTTCTGCCTTCAAGGATTATGTCAGGGGCTACCATATAAATTGTAAGAGGGGCCAGCAAAAATAAATATAATTTCATTTTCATTAAAACTAAATTAACTGAAGTATATATTAAAATGTTTCTTCACTGCATGTTAAACAATTTGCTACTTCTGGCACACTAAAAATTATATCAGAAACAAGCTTTGGCACAGCTCTGATGGAAAAGAATAGAGATTGTGTTTTTATGGGGACTAAAGAAGCCAAATTGAGGCGATTTCTTGATTCCCTACAACTAAAACTAAAAAATTTTACGCTTAAGAAACAGCCACAACATTTCTTCTGTTCTCATAATTAAATAAAATTATTTGCTGCTAGTAATGTATTTATATATTTGTATCCCACCTTTATTATTTTTAAAAACAGCTGAAGGTGGCAAACATATCAAGCAAATCTTCTTCCTCCTATTTTTCTCACAACATCAACTCTGAAGGGAGTGGGCTGAGTGACAGAGAAATGTAGTGGACTTTTTTCTCAGCTAGTATTTATTTTATTGCTTTGTTGCTGATTTATCTTATTTCTGGGATGATGTGTATCTTCTATTACTCCCCTTACATAGATTGATTATGTTTAAACCACCATAATGAAAGCTGTATTATGTGAGAGCCTGGAAGCAAAGATGTTGAAATCAATAGGATATAATTGTGAATAGTGATACTGAATATGCTAAGTATCAGAGTGCAGATTGCATTTGCTGAAGAATGCAATTTTTAAAAAGTTTTGTCCTGCTTTGTCTTGGCTTATCTTTCTCTTTCTCTATTTCACATTTTCCACTTATTACTTCTCTTTACTTTCCTTACTTTTCTCTTTAAAATTTTGTATTTGTTCTTTTAAAAATTTATTTTTGCTATTTTAAGGGCGTTATAGAGCTGCTACTTTTTTTTTTCCTTATGTGCCAACAAATGTAGCCTCTGCAGGTAGCCCCTGTTGACCCTTGTCTGGGTTTTGAAGTTAAGCAGAGTTGGGTTAATAAGTACTTAGAACAGGGGTGTCAAACTTGCGGCCTGTGAGCCGGATGCATCATGTGCTGGCCATGCCCACCATCATTTTAGCGAAGGGGAAAAAGTCGCGATACGTCATGTGATGACAATGTGATGCTGCGAGTTTGACACCTCTGGCTTAGATGGAGGGCCATCAGAAATCTCAGGGCTATAGGGCTAGATGGGGAAAACGGTCCCCAAAGAAGGCCATGGCAATTCCTAATTTCCTGTTGCCAAGAAAACTGCAAAGATGTGTCTGTGTACTGTATCCACTATAATTTATGCTTCATTAGAAGCAGATTTTACTTTTTACAATGGTAACCATGCTTCCCACTCTTCTAAAGGGAAGCATGTCCTTTTACCAAGAAAGTGCCTTTTTTTTTTTTTTTTTTTATAACAAGGTTTTTAGCCTCACATTTCAAATCCTTCAGCTGATTTTGGTTTGGTGTGTATTTTGTTTCATGCAGCAAAATGTTTTGGGCTAGTGTCCCCTCCTTATTTACCTTTCCTCATATTGACAGATTCTGTTAGTTTTAACGTGGCTCTCATTCTCAAGATCTCATCAATCATTCCTCGAAGGAACCTGTCTAGGTGCTATCTATCATCACTGGATTTAATTAAACCAGAGCCTGCCACATTTTTCATTTTTAATCTCTGATCCTGGATAAACCCTTCATTCTAGATTGCTTATTATCATTACCAGACCCTCAGAGATGTTCAACTGTTGTGGCTTATGGGACTGACGATGGCTGTGGATTCCCCATTTGAAAATGGGCACAGCAAATTATTTATGTAGGTAGGAATTGTGAAACCAAAGCAGCTCAAGACAGAAGAGCTATTTGTTTTGCAGCTGCTATTTCTACAGGCACTGCTAGGCAGGTTGCTTTACTGAGCTCTTAAAGTGTTGAAGAGGATTTGTTCAAGAGCTGTCGGAAGAGCTGAACTGCTCAAAGGATTACAGCGCTCTCAACATGAATTAGACTTTGCAATAAAAACAATGCATGAATCTCCAATGAACTGAGCTTGTATCCTTGACAACTTAAAACTACCTTTAAATTAGGCCAAGTGCGCTGGAGAAGACAGGGAGGAGTGCAGAGCAGCGAAACCTCTCTTCATTCCCTTTTCTAATTGGTATTTCTTGGTAGGTAAAGCTGACACCATTTACATCAAACAAAACAGGCCTAGAAACCTTGCTCTCAGGAAGGACTGATCTAACCCATTCACTAGTCTCTTCTCCTGTTGAGGTTCACCATGTTGTCATTTAATAAAAGATAGTCATAGCCGTGGATTGGCGCAGTTCCAAATATGTTCTAAGATATGGTGCAGAAGAAATAATATCTGACATGTTAATTCATATGTATGTAGAAGGAGAAACATTCCCAACTTTATTCCTCTCATTAGCCATTGAATTTCCTATAGCTTTGTATTTATTGCAGTGACTTACTAATACTTGTCTGAAAACTGGTTGGAATTGTTTTCCAGTGGAGAAGAAGGTTATACAGGGTTATGAGGTAGAGAACCCAATCTTCAAGTTGGTAAAGGAACTCCCTGACCTGTTCTTCTACTGTGCTGTTTGTTTGTAGTTTTTTTGTCATTAAATATGCCCTTGACGATATTTGGCAAGCTTCCTTATTAATGAGAGAGGATTGAGCCAATAAATTTTATCTACCACAAATTTTGCTCTGAAATTGAAAAGAATCCAGAGTTCAATGTTCACCCCTTGTTTGAAGGTAGACAATGTAAACACCCACCCACCCCGCACACTTGGGATCATGAGTTTCAGCAGCATCTCTGGATGGAATGGTTTTTATGACACAGATGAACCTAGAAATATAAGCTACCAATTCTCTTCTTTTTCCAATTTCAGAATTGTAATTTCCCTCCTTCTCCCCATGTGTATCTCTCAGATTGCCTGTAATGTTGTACCTGCAGGAACCCAGGCAGCAGAAAATATCAAATATGTACTATGATCCAGGTGCAATCATCTGAAAAATTTGTACAGTGCTTGGTGCTCCTCCCTGGTTCTGCTGCTTTCAAAATTTACCTCAGCCAGGATAAGCCATGTTTTATTGACATTGTAGCCTTTGCAATATGATATAATATTACAATAACAATATTGCAAAAATTGGAAAGACCAGTAATATCAGTCTTCTGTGTTGGTTTTGTGATGTAATATTTGTGACTTCCCATTTGGACTACTGCAATACTCTCTACATGGGCTGCCCTTGAACATCTGTAAGCTTCAGCTGGTACAAAATGCAGCAGTACAAACTGTAAATGGTATCAGCTATTTGGCACATGGAACAATACTGCTTCAGGGACTGCCTTGGTTGCCAGTGTGTTTCCATGTATAAGTCAAGGTGTTGGTTGTCACATTTAAAGCCCTTTATGGCTTGGGACTCAATTACCTGAGAGACCATTTTCTTCCAGTTGCTTTTACCCATCCAATCCACCCGCCAGGAGATGTGTCTTCTCTGCTGTAGCCCCTTTGCTCTGGAGTCTGGACCATTTTCTCTCCAGAGATTAAGGTGACCCCAACCCTGTTGGCCTTTTAGACTTGGCTATGTGTTTAGGTCTGGGGTGTTCTTAGTTATGTTGATTCCAAATGGATTATAATAGCTTTTGGTTGTTAATTATATTTAATTTCTTTTTCTTTTTGTATTGCTTAACTGTTTCAATTGTTTTTATACTTCTTTGCCACCCAGAGTCACTGGTTTGAGATGGGCAGCTATACAAATTGGATGGATGGATGGATGGATGGATGAAATGAAATATTTACTCAACAAAAATGGTGCAAAGGTTTTGTACATTACCAGGTACATTTATCTCAGTGTGCTCCAGAGAAAGTCCTGTGAAAGTAAGGGAGAAAGCATTTTGTGAAGACGCTTATGGAATACGCTCTGCTCTCAGATAAGCTCTTTAATATTCTACTGGAAGGCCTGATTAATAGCTTCCAGGCTTACATGGCATCCCATCAAAAGCTGACCTGACCTTTCCTGTGTTGATTTGATATTTATTTCTAGAGTCAGTGATAACAATAGTAACAGAAGGAAGTAAGCAGCAATGTTAGAAGACAGAAAGATAGAAATGTGCTTTTTTTCCCTTTGTTCCAAAGCCTATTTGTACATGTGGGTCAGGAAAATGATTCTGTGCTCTCAGCTTATTGCAGCAACTGACTGGTTTTCCAAGAATGATTTGGCACTACGTTATTTCTAGTTATTTTGTTTAAGGTATTACTAGTTATTTTGTTTAAGGTATTGATGTAATTTCATCAGCATTTTTCTTTAAGTGGATTTTGTTCAGAACCTATTTTTCATTGCCAGCAGATGGCTTCTGAACAACCGTATGGGCACAGAAATGTTTACTTGCAGGTTCTTTCTAGCAGTCTGACAGTCTTGTCATTCTCCTGGGCGGTGCTTCTCAAAACTGTTCTTTGCAGTCTCATCTTGTTCATATGAAGCAACAGTGAGGGTTTCTTTTTCTTTTCTTTTTTTTAAAAAGGCCAATACACTGTAAGGAAAATGTAAAGTTTGCACATGAGCTACAATATAAATAAATTGATGTTAACGAGGTAACAAGTCGTAGTTTCCCGTGGGAAGGAATATCCTGCATCATTATCTCCTCACCATAGGATACCACGGCTTGTTACATATTTGGGGCAGGTGGGAGACGGAGACAGAGACAAAGGGGAGTCTTTTCTCTGTTTCTTTTGTTGCTCTCATACTGTTACTAAAAAGAGGGAAAGGAAAATGGGAATATTTGGGGGCTAACTTGTGCCTAGAACTTCTTGTTCATGGACAAGGGCAGTGAAGAGAGACTGGTAACATTGCAAACCTTCTGACTTTCTTTCGTGAGCTTTGAGCAACATTTTTTTTTTGTATTTGTGATTTGTGGGGAAAGGATGCTCAGGAGACTTTCATAAGGTAGGGTGATTATCTAGCAAATCTATAATAAAGAACATACAGACTCCAAAATAAGATTTATTTGAGAATTAGAATATTAACTAATATTCCCTTCAAAAATTAAGTGTGTTGAGACTATTGTCCTAAATTCAGCTTGTGGTCACTTAATCACACTCTCACAGTCCTGGAAAATAGCCACACTTAAATTAGGTAAAGGCTCCCTTCACACATATGTGCTTGTCATTCCTGACTCTAGGGGAGCGGTGCTCATCTCCATTTCAAAGCAGAAGAGCCAACGCTGTCTGAAGACGTCTCTGTGGTCATGGGGCCAGCATGACTAAACACCAAAGGCGCATGGAACTTTGTTACCTTCCCACCAAAAGTGGTCCCTATTTTTCTACTTGAATATTTATTACGAGCTTTCGAACTGCTAGGTTGGCAGAAGCTGGGACAAGTAACAGGAGCTCACCCCGTTACAAGGCACTAGGGATTCGAACCGCTGAACTGCCGACCTTTTGATCGACAAGCTCAGCATCTTAGTCACTTCAGCTTCAGCTTCAGCCTAGTCTCATAGTATCTGATCTCATTCGGAGACACAGTAAAGTATGAAGTACTCAAAAGATATAGGCCAATTTGTCTTGATGTCTGGAACTAGAACAAGAGTCAGAAAAATAGAACTCAATTTTCCTATAATATAGTATGACGAAAAGTCCACAAATAGCTGTTCCTTCTTTTGTTCTTCACCAGAATATCCCATTATGCTATTGTATATACCCAGGTTAGAGCTTTATATTATGGAAAAACATGCCTAATTTCTTAGAAATGGGGCATGTAGGAGGAATTGTGATCCTTTAGAAACTGGCTTTTAAAAAAAAAAGTATTCATATAACAAAATGAGATGATAAACCTAGATCTGGGAGCATTCTTACAAAAGTTCAAACCATTATCTGGAGAAGGTTTTATTCAAAGGAAAGGATTATTGTAAACATGATGTTGGTCATTCCTAAAGGCAGTTGATTGTGGAAGTAGAGGTAGGTATATAAAAGTTGATGTTACTGGTTACTAGGCTGGGTTAACTACCTTACAAAATACTGCCACACAACTATTCAAGAGTAGAGACTGAAAAACAGTGCGATGGAGGGAACCATTAAATAAAAGATCTCCCTCAATTCCCAGAATGCTGTGATTGATGCAACCAACAGTGGCTCAAATGTAAGGACTTGAGGACAGATCTGTGTATTACTGAATCCTATATTCACCTTTTTACACATTATCTGAGCTTGCTCTTTCCTCTTTTCTCTCTCTGTATGAAAACAGCTGCTATATCCCTTTGCCATGCAGTGCAGATCCGAAAAAAGAAGTCAGGAATAGAGTTTCATGGAAACACAAAATGAGAACAGAGTTCAGATGTGTCTGCCTTGCACAGAATAAATTAAAAATTAATCTGTATTACCCTGCTCTACATAATGTTTTACATTTCAGCAGACTCCGACGCAGATCCTGACTATAAACATCACTCTAAGTACTACAGATTACAGAAAAATAAATGTCTTTTGTCCCAGTGTAAAAAATTGTACTACATTTTAAATTTGTTGCAAAAAGTATAGCTCTACTAATTTTATAGTGTTCAAAGCAAAGATGGAACATTCCTTCTTGTTAGTGTTGTCCTTGACAAACAAGCAAACAAACACACAAACAAATAAATACTATATTTCATATGTAATCCATTCCATCTGTTTATCCATGCTATTTTGTTTTGTTCCACTTAGGAAAGTATGAAAGATTGGCAAACATAATTGCCAGTTAGTTTCACAAATGTTTCTCAGGTAATTTTATGACACACTCTGTGGTTGGCAGCATTGGAAAAGGATGATATGCTAGAGCAGGGGTATCAAACTCAAGGCCTGCAGGATGAATCTGGCCCACAGGGCACTTAAATCTGGCCTCTGAAGCCGGCCTGGAAATAGCAACGGATCAGTCCGCGGTTCCCCATTTTGGCTGGCAGAGTGCTGTAGGGGATGTCTGTCCCGTCTCGTCCCCCCTGCTGGCCTGCGGAGGACAACTACAATGCTGATCTGGCCCTTGAAGAAATCCAGTTTGACACCCCTGTGCTAGAGAATCACTCTGACAAGAAGAGAAACCTAATTTGCAAATATTATAATCAATTGTTCATATGTGTAATGACTATTTATATGATATTCCATCTATTCTCTGAGGATTATGTTGCTGTTTTTTTAAAAAAAATATAACTAAAAAAAATAGTTTTATGGTTTCTTAAAGTTAGTGTTTATCCTGGCATAAGCTTTCATAGACCATAACCTAGTTTATTGAATGCATAAAACTCACAAAAGTCAATGTAATGATAAATGGATTAATCTTCAGTGTTCCACAGCACTCTTGTTTTTAGTGCAAGAGATTGATCCTATTACCCTTCTGGAAAGTATTTGCAGGTTTTGTGTCATTTCTGTACTCCTATTTCTATAGGGCTTACGAAGCAATTTTGACATTCACATTGTAAAACTACTCTAAGAGTCAGATGCAAAAGGTTGACGTAGTGATTCTACCAAGACCTCAAGTTGAACAAAGGCTCTATTGTGTCATTAAGTCATCCAGCAGAATGGTTGAATTATTCCAGATGTTGTCAATTTATGACGCAATTCTCATTGACACTGATGTTCCCAGATGCTTTTGTTCCCAAACATTGTTGACTGGTGCTGTACCTTGCCAGCTACCATTGTCTCTCTAAAGTTGTTTACCAGGATGGGTGCAATACTATAGTGAATGCAAAATTATTTGGCATGAGTCAGTAGATTAAATCATAGATTATCTTCCCATGTCAAATTGCACTGGGAGGCAATTGAGGATGAATGGAAAGTAGAAAACAGAGATTTGCACTGGAGGAAATATCAATATTATGTTTCATTTATTTTTAAGGTGTTTAAACATTTATCAGTTCACACATTATGAATATGAGGAATGTTTTGCAGAGGGAAATGTTTTAGGTTTTATATTCAATGGTCATTTTACATATATATTTGTGAATATTGCATGTTAAAAATTCTTCATTACACTTTAGTAAGGCTTATTAAAAATCCTTTTCGATTTCATCTTCTGAGCCTGTAAAGCAGGGGTGTCAAACCCGATCGCATTGCAGGCCATATTGTGACATATTCGGATGTTTTTTGGCCTTTGCGGAACCTGGGTGGGCATGACTTGAGCGGGCCATATCCAGCCCACGGGCCGCCAGTTTGACAGGCCTGCTGAGAACTCTCCGAAGAATGAATTTTCTGTCTGTGAAGATGCTTACAAACTTTATGCTGACATGATTTTCTCCTTGGATTTTGGAATTTCAAGCAATATGATTTCCCCTCCAAACCAATACCCTGCTTCCCCCCAAATAAAACATCCCCTGATAATAAGCCTAATCAGGCTTTTGAGCGCATGGCAATAAGGCCAAGCGCTTATTTCAGGGTTCCAAAAAATATAAGACAGGGTATTATTTTTGGGGAAACACAGTACCAATGCATAACTTGCTTGCTGTTTTTCTGGTTTTGAACTACAGGTAGTCTTCAACTTACAACTGTTCTTTTAATGACCATTCAAAGTTACAAGGGCCCTAAAAAAAGAAATTTACAACTATTTTTTACATTTACAATGGTTGCAGCGCCCCCATGATCAAAATTCAGTCACTTGGCAATTGGCATGTATTTATGACATTTGCAGTGTTCTGGGATCATGTGATCACTTTTTGTGACCTTCTAACATGCAAAGTCAATGGGAAAGCCAGATTCATTTAACTACTTTGTTACCAACTTAACAGCTGTAGTAATTCACTTAACAACTGTGGAGAAAAAGGTCATAAAATGGGGACAATTTAGCAATGGAAATTTTGGGCTAAATTATGGTTGTAAGTTGAGGACTACCTGTACAGATTCACCATTATTTTCAGTATTTATTTTTTCTAACTGGTACTCCAGTGAGTACGTCTTCTGAATAAATCATAGCACAGAAAGGAATATGGGTGAAAGGATGTATCTGGTTTCCCTCAAACAGTCCAAGCTTACCTAAAGTGTTTGTAGAGTTGCCTCAGTTGGCTGCATATCCATACCAAGCACATGCCACATTTCTGCTCCTTCCCAAGGCCTTATATGGACAATGGTTTTCATGTGTATTGGTATGCACAAAGGGCCTCTCCGTGGTGGAAACCTTGTCCTACTTAGATTTTTCCTCATGAATGTTATACCTCTTGGTGTCCTTGCCATAAGGACGGATATTGCCATGCTCCCCCATGTGATTGTACTATTGCACCATGATTTCTTTTCTGTACTATGATTTACTAGACAAGCTGAGGCCATGATACCTGTCCATCAGTATGTACTATCAGAACAAACTACTGTGTATATATGCCAGTCTCCCCAAATTAATTTTAGAAATTCAGCAGCTTAGAACCAAAATAAATAGAAAAGGAATGCAAACCAAAGCTTTTTTTTTTTGTCAATAGGTTCAGGTCTGATATCTCTCTAACTGACCTGTGAAAACATTTCTAGAACAGGGATGGCTAGCTCAATGGGTCCATGATTAACTATTCTCTACTTTGAACTATTTCTTGATTGGTTCAAAACATTTTATAAAAATCTGCTGTCGGTAGAATTTCCCACCTAAACCAAGCTATCCTGGCTGTAGTAGTGCTGTTTCCAAAAAATGTAAAGATCCGTTGTCATCCCTGACGTAGTGATTCCCAGAGGTTCTGAGTGACTGATATGCTAAATCAGATTGCCTGCCCAGCTTCATCCTGGCCTGGGAAGACCCTGGTGTCATCTCAAAAGGAATTGCTATCATGAAGCAGCTGCCTCTCAAAGCAGGCCTCAGATCAGATGCATACAGGGCCACTTTGTTCTCTGTCCAAAACACTGTCACTGCAAGGGAAGGAAAGCCAGATACGAACGCTTTATTGTTTACGGCTTTGTATTTTATTTTGTTTCCCTATATTTCTTGTATATTCTTAGGGACAACGGGATCTACTGAGGAGCGCCAAAAATGAAGCCATAGAAAATATGAAGCAGATCCAGCTGGCTTGTTTATCATGTGGACTGAGCAAAAGTGGAAGTGGGAACTCAGATGCCAAGGCTAAGCGAGGTCTTGAGCCAATCGAAAAAAAAGAGACAAGCAGTGAGAATGCCAGGCTCTGAACAAAGCCAACGGTGTCATATATTTCAATAGTCCAAAATTATTTTTTTAACACATTAAAAAAGAGAAAAAGAAAGATCACAGTAGCACCCTCTACAGGGCATCAGAAGTATTAAAATTCTCATAGTGCCAGTGTTTTACTTTGTCATCCGCCTAAATTTAAACTCTCTGGTAGTGACGTAATAATTTCCACATAATTTTATGTGGGGAGATCCTTTAACATTTTTTCCATGAATTACATTATTGCCCTTTTCCTTATTTATTGTTTTGCAATTCTGAAGAGCTATGTGGAGAGGGAAAGGCAATACCTCACACTTTGGCTTTATACTTTGTTCTACCAGCTTTTGACAGTATGCTTTTTCAAGTCTGTAATATAGGTTTTACCAGCAAAACAAACAAAAGACAGGAAAAGAACTCAGTCTTTTATTAATGTGAATTAATAATGGATTCCTCAACATAGAAGAATAAATTATTAATTTTTTTCATTAAATTAAGTTAATAAATTATTAAATGCTTTCTCTTTTTTAATGGAAGTCAGTAGGATTTCCGATGTACATTCCATTGACTTTTGCTAATCACGATTTGAAATGCATTAATCTAATACCTATTAATGGAAGAAATTGGTCAATTTTTATTTCGGAAAGGTAGCTGGAGTCAGTCTGAGTTCTACAAAACATGCTGTAGGTGTGGACAAAATGATTCCGGACTTTGTTTATGAATTGCAAGTTTATAGAATGGAACAGAAAATACAAAGATAATTTAGTAATGCTGAAGTAATCTCACTGCCATTAGCTGAACAAAGGTAATATAAAGAATTCGTGTTTGTAAAAGATATCTTAATTATGATTTTTTCATTCATATAGACAAATCTGCATAGGTTACATGAGCAAAGGTCCATCTCATGATTAATGCCAAAGCATGCACTTATTTCGCAGAAGTTCCTCCTCCAGCTTTGCATACCAGGTAGAGCATATGGGATGCCAGCCTCTTGGTTCACTGTGAGACATGAAGTGTGATTTACAAGACCTTGCACATTTTCTAAGCACCATCATGCAATTGTTGAGCCTTTATGCTTAGGTGTATGTAGTTTTTCCAACATTTGCCATGTTTCCTTGGTTACATTATTGTGAGAATACTTTCATATCTTTGACGTATATATCATGAGAGACAATGCTACAATAGGTATGTAATAGTCTTCTTTTGTCAACTCCAGCAGAAATTAATGCAACCAAACCAAACTGATTAACATGGGATAAGCAGATTCAAACTGAGTAGGTGAATTGAAGCTGCCATTTGACTACATGATCATATCTACCCTGTTTCTAAGCAGAGCACCAGGTGCATTGATGTTGTTATACAATATTTAACACGTATACAAAGCTAGAAATAAGTCACATGGGTGATGCAGCATAGAGGAGTGAATTGCTAGCTGTGCTTCTAGTGAGTCAGGCACATGATGATGATCCCCATCGTTCCTTCCCGTTTGCCCAAATCTTACTTTTGTCACATCAATTTCATTGTGTGAATTTTACCACAGATTTGATAGGCTGGAAATGTGAAGCAACATAGAGAGTAAGAGCTTAAAAAACTCAATGATTATTATAATTTCTCAGCATGTTCCATTAAAAAAATTATTTCAATGTTGAGAAGAAGAGATCTGGATTCTGCTGTTGTTTTGTTTCCCAGTAAAGCTGGAAGACAAGTGAAAATGCCTCCATGTTACCATCCTTCACAGTGCCTGGCTCAAATACTTTAGCAATGGTTGTGTATTTCAGATTTCTCAAAGCTTCAGTATATATTTGCATTTCCTCAGTTAGAAGCAAGAGTTCTATGAATATAAGACACTGTATTTATTTGAAGCATTGCTTTTATTTTGAAAAGCTGCCTTTTAATTAATTTGATTAGCAAACGTGCTGACTTTTCTCAATATAACAAAAGGCCAATTGTTGGAAGTTTGTCTAAAATTATTATATACATTAAGTTATTTTTTTATTTCTTAACAACACTACAATGTTCATGTTGCACATTTCTGAAAAAGTAAAGATGGGGTGGGGGTGGGGGTGGGGAAATGACCAATGTTTAAAACTGAGTTTATTTATTATTATTATTATTATTTCAAAGACTTTATATAACCACCCATACTGTAACCACAACTCTGGCCAGTTTTCAAGACAATAAAAATTGTTAAAAAAAACAGTAAAAGGTTACTGCCCACTGATATAACTTTCATTTAGAATTAAGCCTTCACTATCACATGAAACGATATAGCAGGTCCTTGACTTAGAATCAATCATTTAACAACTGTTCAAAGTTATCAATAAAGGATAATATTTGTACTGATGATGTTACCTAGTATAGGTGAAGAAATATCTGCAAGAAAATAACCAAGCTCAGAGAGCACCAAGGACCCATCACATTCAAAGTTATGGGGGTATTGAAAACAGTGACTTATGACAAATCTTCACACTTGGAACTGTCACAGCCATCTCCACAGTCATGTGCTTGACAACTAGTGTGTATTTATGCAGCATCCATTTGCATTCTTCCGAGGGGACTTCTAACAAGCAAAGTCAATGGGGGAAGATGGATTCACTTAACTATGTGATTTGCTTAATGACCACAGGAAAAGGTCCTAAAATCACTTATGATTCACTTTACACTTGCATCACTTAGCAATGGAAGTTCTGCTTCCAATTGTGGTTGTATGTTGAGAATGGCCTGTATACAATATAAACATATCACTTTGCATAAACCATTTAGTAGAAATTTTATGAATGTGTTTATGTGCATAGTAGAGAATGAATTTATCTACAGATTCAATTTAGGAGTTATGTCAACTGAAGAACTAATCGATTCAATATTAGGCCATTCAGGATGTGTATTATAAACTGGCACTGAAGAGAGAAATGTACATATATCCTTAACGGTTCCTATATTTTCCAAAACAGTTTTAAAGATGTTCATACATGCTAAGGTTTGGTACGTTTTCCAGGATTGGTTACCAGCAGGCTTTAGACTATGGGATTTCCTGACTGTGTTTTGAATATTTTGCTGAGCTGCCAATAGGCCTTTGATATTTCCATGAGAGGATAAGAAAAAGTTGTACTTTCTCCCATTTGTGATTAATCTCCATCTCTACGCTCAGTTATATTAATTTAGCTGAGTAACAGCAAAAAAAGGCACAATAACTATGCACTCCTCAGACAAGGCAAAAGAAATACAGTGAGCCCTTTACTTTGTCATTATGAAGTCAAGGGTATGTTTCTGGGAGATTATGTACATTAGCTAATGAATATGCACATTGCCCAAGCAAAGTTTTAAGTGCATAGTCCAAAGATGAGGAAACAAGGACCTTGACTAGGAAACATTCACAGTGCCCTCCACGGTGTATATGGTGGTTCATGGCCATGCACATTAACTGGGCAGTTCACTTTTCCGCTAACAAAACCAATCAAGTACCCCAATTTTGGAGGCCCCTGGGCATATTTTAAATTTGGAAGAAACTCGCCCAATATAGGGGCAGAGGAGGCTTACTTTCTCAAAATGGCTGCCATTTTTCATAGTTGCTAGTCGTAAAATATCCATTTACCAACAAACAAACAAAACAAAACCCCAAAAACAAATTTAGGAGCTTATTTCTCATTCACTTCCATTCATTGAGGCAAATGGGAAGCTTTATACCCATGATGGCGAACCTATGGCACGGGTGCTTGAGGTGGCACGCAGAGCCATCTTTCCGGGTACGTGAGCTGTCGCCCAACTCACTTGCAGCTGTGCATGCATGTGCGCCCCAGCTGGTGTTCAGGTCTCCATGCGCGCAATTCAGGGGGACCCAGCTGGTTTTTGGAGCTCTCCTGCGGATGCGCGCACATTTGCGCACACGTGCGAGAGTACAGCATTTGTACTGAGATATGGCGTTCACGCACATGCATTGCATACATGGAAACCATGTGCATGTGCAGATGGTGCAATTGCACATGCAGCACATGGGGAAGCTGTGTGAAAGCCGTGCACATGTGCAGATGGTGCGGTTGTGCGTGCAGCTACAGGGAGCCACACGCCAGCTCGCGCATGCACAGATGGTATGATTGCGTGCTCAGCGCACAGAGGGGCATGCGGCGAAAGCCGTGCGCATGTGCAGATGATACGGTTGTGCACACAGCACACAAGGGAAGAGTGTGTTAGCATGGATAGCAAGTGCGTGTACGAAGCGCGCAAAGCACATACCTGTTCAGCACTTGGTGAGTAAAAGGTTCACCACCACTGCTCTATACCATTTCCAGTTTATCTCTTTTTCTTGTACATGGCATATGGCATATTTCTAAACAAAGCACTGAAATGCTGCCACCCATTGATTTTATTTTTTAAAAATGCCTTAGGGGGCTCCAGGGCTATCTTGCACATAAAAATAGGGCTAGAATTTGGTGCCTTAGGTCCTTAAGTGGATAAAAATAATCTCAGCAAAAAATAACTGGGCTGGGCACATGCAGAGGGAAATGATTGGAGGCACACTGGTGCTCATATTGGAAATTACAATATGGAGGACCTTGATTGTTAACGATAACATAAAGGAAGCATCTTCTATTTTCAATGTGCAAGAGGAACATTAGAAACTAAGCCTGATAACATCATATTTGCTGATCAGCACAGTTAATTTACTGCATAGGTTTCTGAAAATTCAAAGCCTGGGGTAGCTAGTGAATAATTCAGAAGGTTTCCGTCCTATTCAAAGACCTCTTGGTGACACTTTCTTGACTCCTGGTGTATTCAAAGGATGCCAAATTGTCACTGAACCATTAATTTATAAGATATA